CCGGCTCTGGGCGGAATGGGCCCGGGGGGTACCTGTAGGTTTCTTTGGGCGCTCTGGTCAGTAGCGGGTGGCTGCTCCGTTCCGAGTCCCTGGGACTGGGGCCCCGACTGACGGGACAGAAATCTTTAAATAAAAATAATTCTTCAAGCTCTTTGTAGGGCTGGTTGTGTTTTGCTTATTGTCCTTCTCAAAAATAAGTAGCGTTGGGAGGAAAAGTAAATCGAGTCTATAGTAGAGAGCAGCAAGTAGCGTGGATTTAGTTGTGATACAAGATAAACGTCAGTTCTCTATGCTTTTGAGTTTCCTTGATTTTACATGGAGATAACAGCAATCAGAGAATGCGTTTGAGCCTAGAATTGACTGCAATTTTTACTCTTTTGGCAGGGCCACTTAGCATTTGATTTCCTGAAAAGACTACTGTTTTTCTTCAAAAGTCAACTTAAGACTGACCAATTTGAGATTTCTTTTTTTAATCGATGTTAACTGCTTTAAAGGCATATGAAATTACTTTTAAGACCTTGCATTTGTTTAAAAAAAATACATTTCATCATTTTCTCTCAATAATGAAATTTGTATCCTCTCCTTCTTAGATCCTTTGCATATTTTACGATTAAAGACAGACTGCCCCAGATCCTCACAAGAGTTATTGATACTCTACATCGACATAAAAATGAATTCTTTGAAGAATATGGCGAGGTAAGAGAAAGATCTCTTTTTGCCTGAGATTTCCCCCCCCCCCAGCCTTCAGACCCCTTCTCTGTCTTGTTTTTACTTGTTTCTTACTAATTGTCTGTCTTAATCTTGTTGTCTGGTTTTTTTTTTCTTTATAATCTCTTTCTTATAGCTATTTTTCCTTAATTTTCTAACTCACCTTTCTGTCTAACCTTTTTCTGATCTACCTGTTTTGCACCTGCTTTGGCTTCTCAGGTTTTTGTGTTGATGCAGTGTTTAATAGATGGTGGCATCTTCTGAGGATGGCAGTATTTCAATATTCTGTTCTCCTCTAGTAAGCGAAAAGTCCAATCTAAAAAGAAGTCCTGTGAGTGATTCATTTTAGGATGTTAGGCAGAAAATGAGCTTCATTGTGTTTGGTTGAATCGAGCTCTGATTTGTCAGGGACTCGTATTTCACAATTAAAACTTATCACTTCTTTCTTTCATGAAAATTGATCTGTGTCTCTACAGGAATAAATGTTCAGAATAGGAACTTTTATTCTCCACTTATTTCAGAAAGGTGTTGAAGCAGAGAAGAGAGCTATATCTTTACTCTCGAAACTGCGGAATGAGCTGCAAACAGACAAACCAGTGACCCCTTTAGAAGATGAGCTGCCTGATGCCACACTTTGGAACCAATACCTAGACTACCAACGAAATTTATCAAACGGGAATGGAGAACCGAGCTGGTTTCAGTCCCCCTGGTTATTTGTAGAATGTTATATGTATAGAAGAATTCATGCAGCATTAGCACAGAGGTAAGTATTTTCTAGCGTGGTGTATTACTTGTTATATGTATAGAAGAATTCATGCAGCAGTAGCACAGAGGTAAGCATTTTCTATCGTGGTGTATTGCAAAATGTTATTCTTTCCTTTTTTTTTTTTTTTTGAGAAAGGGAGACAGCTAGGGAGTAAGGTAAAGGAAAATCTTAAGCTTTTACTATATTCCTTTTCTGTCATCTCGCACCTCAGATTTAAAATTAATAAGTTTTCTTCTCCCATGAGCAGAAGTTGAAGCTTATTAGGTTTTTTTATGCTTCAGTTTCTGTGACTTGATCTACATCAAAACCCTTAAGCTTGACTGTATTATGCTTCAGTTTCTGTGACTTGATCTACGTCAAAACCCTTTAGTTTGACCTTCTTGCAGACTAATGTGCATTGAGATCTGAAAGTTATTTAGCATTGTTTGACCTTCTTGCAGACTAATGTGCATTTTGATCTGAAAGTTATTTAGCATCTCTAAAAGGTTTGTTAGTCTAGAATGATCTCTTAAGACATATGTTAGCCTAAAACACAGAGTGCAAGAGCCACTAATCTTTTGGGCATTCTAACTTGTTTTCCTACTCAAAATCTGAAGTTACTGTTTGAGAACTGTTTCTTACAGCAGTAGATCCAGCTTAAGCAGCCCGAGTTGGTCATTCTACACCATCTTCTTAGTTACAACAGTGTTTGCAGACCATATGTTGCATGAAACTTTGAGAGCTGATCCTGGTTAAAAATAACTTGTCAGGAAAAACTTGTTGTGCTGGTACTATGGAGAGGTGCCAGTACAATGTAATGGGGTAGGAATGAGCAGTTTAATTTCCCGCTGCTGCCAAAAAAAAATGGAAAGCTCCCTGCGTACTTAATGTAATGGGACCCTGTTGCTACTGGTATATTGTATATTTCCAACTCTTGTAGCAAAACCTTCAAATATGAGATGGTAGTTCTGGATTGCAGTTAAAAAACTGAGCAGCAGCTTTTCATTAGTAAGCTTTAAGTTCCTTTATCTCTATTATTTACCTGCTTTTAAGCAGCTAAATGGAGGTTCAATCATTTGCAAAAGGTGCACCTGCAAATATGTCTCTTGTAGTAGATGAGTGTATATTTCTTCTATATTACAAGAACTGAATTATTTTATCAGCTTTGTCATGTTAATTTTCTAAAGTCCTAGTTAAAAACTTTCATAAGAATAACTTCACATCACTGTAAGAGACTTTGGTATGGGAGGTACACTTCAGCACACTGAAACATGCTTAAAATTGGGCCAGCAATTCACTACATTAGTTCACTTGTATGTTACAGTTTTAATTCTCCATTTATGAAGATTGGAGTTCAAAACTGTGTCTGTATGTGCAGTTCCTAGGATTGTTGTGACCAAACACTTGTTTATTTTCAGAATATATTGCTAGAAATATAAACGATGTCTTGTATACTGTCTATTTCAGTGGGATATGATATCAGGCAGTGTGATGTGTGGAAATCTAGTATGACAAATTAGAAGTGGAAAATCTAACTAGGGTCTGAAAAAGCTGGGCTTTGAGCTTGCATTTTCAGATGTGTTTCATGTGCTGTTGTGGAAAATGTAGCAAGTATGTTAATAAATCTGCTCTTCTTCTGTTTTTAGCCCACCTATTGACAACTTTGATGTATTTAAGGAAGGAAAAGCTCAAAATTTCTTTGAATCCCAAGAGGCTGTTATTGCCTTGTGCACTTACTTTCAGGAACTTTTTAAAAACATCAAGGATCTAGATGAAAAGCAACTTCAGGAGGAACTTTTTAAGCTATTGCAGGTAAACTAGTAGCACTTAACATAAGAATTTAAAATATCTCTCCTAAGGTAACAAACAAAAACTTTAGGTTATAAAGAACTTCACATGGAAATTAAAATATAGCTCTTCTGTTTGTAAAAATATGATGAAATCCTGACAGTCATACTGTAGCCTTGCTATTCTTGACATATTTAAGTTTTGGTTACTTGCGTTAAATGTGACATTTTCATTATACTGTGGGTCTTCATTGTGTATTTGAAAACCAAGCTTATTCCTCCTCAAAACTAGTATCTCTAAAACATTTTAGGTCAAGTTCCAGATGGCCTTTTTTGTTATTTAACTATAAAATTTTAAAACCATTCATTTTATTATCAGTCTAAAAATTTTATACTTCTTTGGAAAAAAGTTAGAAGTCAATCTGGGCCAGAAGTGGTTTAAAAGCTTTGTAACTGCATTATTCTTGGAAAATGATGCCTTTGGGTAGAATATGAAATATTATAGGACTACAAATAAGTCCATTAGCTGGCAACAGCACACACCAAGTATTTGATGAATCTTTGTAAAGACCTCATTAGCATGTACTTAAAATACAAGTTCTTACTTGGCTGCATGTAACAAAAAAAACCCAAACGTGCTTTTACTACTCCTTTTTCTATGTTCCAACCGATATTTTCTGGAATTACAGCATGGAGAATATTTGTGTTTTAAACTGTGTGATCAGTGTATGTATTTATGTAGATCAAAGTCTTCCACCCTGGTCAATCCCAATGCACATTTCTGATGCCTGTGTAAATACAGAGCATTGTTTGGTTTCTTCCACAAAATCTGTATTAAGATTTCTGTACAAGAAGTTCAATTTTATTAAAGCTTAGAGGAAAATGTGGAGTTAGAGCCTTCATGTCCCTTAAATAAAACCAACCAAACAAAATCTTTAGTGTGCATGAAGTTTAGAATGTAACTGTAGTGAGACTTAGCAAACTTTTTTGGTTTTTTCCTCCTTCTAGGTGTCGTTGTGGGGCAATAAGTGTGACCTTTCTTTTTCAGCTGGTGAAGACAGCTCTCAGAAATCTAGTCCTTTACAATCCCTGGAAAACCTGATACCTTACATCATAGTGAATGATATGGAAAAACTGTGGTCGCTACTTGTAAATGCCAAAAAAAGCAATACAGAAATAAGGCATGTTAGAGTTGACATAATTCTGGATAATGCCGGATTTGAACTTGTAAGTGATCTTGTGTTGGCTGACTTCCTGTTATTGTCAAAACTAGCTGATGAAGTCCATTTTCATGGAAAAAGTATTCCATGGTACGTGTCTGATACCACAAAGCATGATTTTAACTGGACTATTAAACAGCTGCAGGCAGCCAATCATATGTGGATGTCTAGATGTGGGATAAACTGGGAGGGCAATTTGAAAAAGGGAGCTTGGGTTTACTGTGATCACATGTTTTGGACTTTGCCATATGACTTTTCCAGTATGGCTGAAGTTGCTCCTGACTTGTATGCTGATCTACAGAAGTCAAACTTGCTTCTTTTCAAAGGTGATCTAAACTATAGAAAATTAACAGGAGATAAAAAATGGGAATATACTGTTCCATTTTCTCAAGCCTTGAGCAAGTTTCATCCTGCGCCTCTTTGTAGTTTGAGAACACTGAAATCTGACACTCAGGTTGGCTTAAAACCTGGACAAAGTGAACAAATTCAGGCTTCTGATCCTGAATGGATGGTAAACGGGAAATACGGGGTAGTTCAGTTTGATGCTGCTGTCTAGTTAAATGGTTCCTAAATTCTGAAAGATAAATTCAGTCTGAGTTTTAACTACTTTCTCTGTTCCATGCTTGGCTTCAGCAAAGTTTCTGTATTTTGTTTGCACTTTTTCCTCCCAAGTGATTTGTTAGTTTTCTTCCACAAAAACTTAAATGATGTGCAAAAGTTTACAAACTGTCTTTGTGTACATAAATTTGTATTTCATTAGATTTTGTTTTCCTAATGTCCATTTTCAGCAGATGTTTAAGATGAACATTTAGTTGTCCATAACATTTTTTTTTCTTCATCAGTGAGTATGACTAACAAGAGAAAAATCTGCTTCAGAAACTATTTCCTCAATCCCATGTTAACGTGTATTTACTTATTTCAGGATAATTTGTGCTCCACATACCATGCATTGCATGAAAGTTGATATTTTAGAGAATGCAGAAATTAATTCCTGCTAGATTCTTTGCAGTCCATTGCAGGATCATATTTTAAAACTGTTGAAAATTGAGTTGGCTTCTACCAAGACTTTATTATTTAAATTGTGTTTTACTTGCTTCTTGTGTCCATGGACAAATAACTTTTGATGTTTTGCGTATAGTTCACTGTACATTAAGAGAAGAGTTCTTGAGTGATACTTTGTAAATATTAATTTAGAATTTGAAAATAAATTTTAATTTTAAAATACAAGTGAATATTGCTAGCTGGTTTGCCTATAGGAGGTAGTTGTCCCATCTGGTAGGAAGATTAGTGGGAGAAAGGACAATCTCATTTTAAGAATATGGAAGATACTGTTAGTCTAAGAACCTCTACAAAAAGCACACAAAAACCCTCCAAACCAAACAACCAACCCAACCAGTTGCATTAATTGTATTTTAGATTTAATACAGAATTGAATTAAAGGTGGCTTGTCAGCAGTGTTTGTGGTTCAAGCACCGCTGCCTCCTTCCATTGTGATAGTTCTCTTTATTTGTCAAATTTATGTTTTTTTTAAGAATGATGCCATAATTTTCATGGGGGAAATACAACCCACGTTGCACTGAGAAGTATGTGCTAGAGAAGCATATGCTCTACAGGTCGCTGCTAGTTGGAGTTCTTAGCTGCCTATTTCTTCTTTTCTGCCCTGCTCTCAAATTACTCAGAATTTGGGGGAAAATGTAGGGATGTTTTAGTGGTTTTTCAGAGTGAAGTGAAATGAAAGTGGAAATGCATTATCCATTTATAAAAAGAAAATTAAAAATAGATTCTGTTAAGTCTTAAAGTACTTTTATGGTTTGAAACAGGGCCCTTGACAGGGGACTGATGTAATGCCAGTGGTAACGACAGATTTGTTAGAAAATGGTGGCAGAAATTACCCATGGAGTCTGGATTATGCTCTTGTCTAGAGCAGCTAAAATGAAGTGAACTTGCCCCCGGTGGGTGGGGAGGGATGGGTGAGGGTGGCTATGTTATAGAGAACAGCAGTAGACTGTAGAGGAACTTCCTTTTCCATTTTACATACATCTTACACAGTGAAGGGGAGGGCACAGACCTTTTCAGGCCTTATTTGAGTATGTTCTGGGAGTGATGGCAAGGGAATTGGAGTGACTGTGTGGTAGGAAGTGGATTTAGAAAGACTTTTATGCTTATGGTTAACCTAAGACAAGAATAAGCTTTGGCAGGCCTAAAGAAGTGGGAAGGGGGAAGCTGAGGCAGTATTTTGTACCCTTTTCAGGCTTTGAAAATGAAGCTGCATTCCCCTTCTGCTCAGTGAAATCCCTGGTAAAGTATGTCTTCTGAAGTGGAGAGAGTCAGATGCTGCTTACTGTGTTCATACAATAAAGATCTGTACAGTGGGTAAATATGCTCCAACTGCCAGTGACTTTGATTATTTATGTTTGGGCTCTTCTTACATCTGAAAGTATATTAATATCTTAAAGTTGCAAAGTCAAGTATTCAAAAACTAAGATGCTTGGAATTTCAGGAGGTAGTGTGGTGCTGTAGGTAGGGTTCTCCTTTTGAGACCTGGGTTCAGAGTTCTCATCTCCGTTGTATCTTTGGTTTAATACTCCTAAGGATGAGCATAAATGCATCTTTTAGGTACTTGATTGACTGCATAAATTAGAAATCAAGTCAAGACAGCTGAAGATCTCTGTGACTGGAGAGAGCTCAGGGGAACTCCAGCTTTGGTGCTTTGATCAGATACGTAAAGGACACGATTAATCAGGCAACTGGAGCCTTAATTTTTCATCAGTGAGAATGCCGTTAACTAGTTTCAAATGCAATTTGAAGCAACAACTTTTGAGTCAAGAACAGAGGAACGGAAGTTGTGGAATATGTGCAATGAAAGCTCCCCGCCTTGTTCAGAGATGAAAGAAACCTGCTTTGTCTGTGGACAGATTGTAAGGTGCTGACTTAATTTCCTGGAGAGGTTTAAAAGTGTGTAATGGACAAGAAGAGAAAGGATTGTTTCATTGTTCAGGCCACCCTTGAAGAATAGATTTGCCTCTTACACAATCCTTACACATGCTGAGACACTTGGTTATGTTTTTCAGTGATTGTTAATCTGTTTCTTTGTGCCCAGGTTGTTTTCAGGCTGTTACTTCTGGGAACTCACAATGCTGAAGTTATGATAAATAGAAGCCTACAAAATGCTAAATCAGGACCTGCAGCAGTATTCACTCAGTATTACTGAGTCATCTTTTTGGAGCTTGTTGCATTGATGTGTGTGAGGAAGTAGGGTGGTGATTTCATGAGTACTGTAAGACATGTAATTCTTAGATTTGCATTTGAATGGTAAATAAGACAATGTGCTGAAAAAAAAGGGAAGAAATTAAATTAGTTCTATCCTCCAGTTTATTCAGTGAACACTTTTCATCTTTTTCCCCTCACAAAGAGAAGTTTGTACTACAGAGTTATGTGAGGTAACTTCCAACTACTGAATTGCTTGACTTCTGTGGCTGTAGTTGCAAAGTGCTGTCTAGAGACAGATTTGAATATGCAGCATACCTTGTTGTTTGTTGGTGGGCTACATTTTTGTAAAATTTGGATGGATTCTATGAAAAAAATGGTGCTGTGATGCCAGTGTTATGTTCTTCTGTGCCACCAAAGAAGTAAAGACAAATATTCCAGTGAGGCATTGTGCTCTGCTGTTGGGTTAGCGACAGCTTAGTTGAAAATAGGAAATGCTTTTGTAGATACTCAGTCTTAATTACTTGTGTAGTATAGCTTCATGAAATGGCAGCATGTGCCTACTGCATTTACTGTGGAATTTACTGTTGTACAAGATAAAGCATATGTTATAACAATAGTATATGCTATAATATAGCATAATTTTTTTGGTGAGTATTCAAGAAAGTTGGTTCTGTACATCTGTTACAACTGATTGCCCAAAATGCTTGCACAGCATAACTTGGGAGTTACTGAATTGTATACCCAAATTCTTGAAATTTTAATTTTATGTGCCATTCGAATATTTATAGCAAAACCAAGGGCGTTTTCAGTAATTCTGAGGACCGCAACAGACCAATGTCTTTTGGCTTCTATTTTTTTTACTCTATCTTTTGAGCAACTGTATTTGTAAATCAGTTTTTGTGTGATAGTGTTGATTCTCATTTATGATGACACAGGAGGAAAAGTAATGTCACAGGCACAGTGAAAGCCAGTACACACGTCTGTCTGAATACTTGATAATTAATTAGATAAGATATATATGATAATTCTATATGTATATATGGCTTCTTAAAATAAATTGATGTGGAAAATATGTTGACTGTATGACTGGAAACTGTTGCAAGAATACTGAAATAAATTATGTAATTTTATGCAAAAGTCAAACATTATTATGATATTTCAGTGTCTGGGAAAACCAACTTAAAATAATTCAGGTCTTAGTTCCTGGAGGTTTTTTCTCTGAAACAAATTTTATACAAAAACCTATAAAGCTTTTTTGTCCAATGAAGTTTTGAAAGAAATAGATGCAAGAGATGGGTATTATAAAATATTCCTTTTAATCAAGACAGGGCAGTATTAGGGAAGTTTCTACCTTGTTACAATACCAATATTCAAATTTCAAAACCTTAAAAAGCATTGAGAATCTCTTAAAATGTATCTGGTAATTACGTACTAAGGACAGGGCAGTATTAGGGAAGTTTCTACCTTGTTACAATACCAATATTCAAATTTCAAAACCTTAAAATGTATCTGGTAATTACATACTAAGGTTGGTGCAGCTGATGATGTTATTATGAGGATCACTTCCCAAACTGATAGGCATTCCATGTGTTCTCAGCAAAAGTGGAAATATTTTAGTGTTATACTTGCTGTAACTAGAATATTTCCAAATCACTTTGTTTTACACACTTTACTGTTCTTTTAAAGTTCATAGTGAGTTTGCGTTCATAGTTGAATGACTTAACTACTTGTTCCTTGTGAAGCATGATCTCCTGTACTCTGTCAGACAGCATAGGAAAAATGTTCACTCTGTTGCATGAAAATTACCACATGGAAAGTTTTTAATCTAAAAAACTTAAATTAGGTCTAAAATATAAATTCCAAAATGGAATTTTGTACAGAACTGTTAGGTTTTGTCATTAAACAGTTTGTTTGTTTACAAGCCTTCTGTTTACCCAAAATTACAGAACAAAAGCTTAGGGTGATTTTTATTTAATACAAAAATATAAGTTCAAAATCATCTAAGGCTTACCTGAGGATTTTAAAGTACAACTGTGAAAATGTGCTGGTTAAAATGGTCCTTTTATTTCTTTCCAGTATGGCAGTGACAGAGAGTATGTAGGAAAAATTTTCCTATACCATGAACTGTTCATGTTTTCTTTGTTTGTTTTCCCCTAAAACAAGTTTTCAAAATGTCTATGTATTTTTATTTTAGATGATACAAATATGTTTCTATTACCCTGGAAATAAAAATAAACATTTAAATAGATACTTTATATTAATTAATCCACATTCTGTCTCAGCTTTACAGTTGTGAATTCTGCAGGTATATTGTCAGAAGGGGTTTTATTTACACTTCTTTTTGATGTTTGGCTCATTTGGCTTTGTTTCCACTGGGAAAGAAACATAAAGTGTCATATTATGATCATATACAATGAATAAATGTATCCAGTACTTACAGGCTGCTTTTGTTTTATCACTTTTCAATAAGCTAAATAGTCATAGTCTCAAACTTCCTGTGAAGAAATTTTAATGCTTGAAGGAATTTATTTTATC